GGTAGTAACTTCTGCAGGATGATGCCGTCGAATCAGCCCCCACCAGACTAGTTTGACCCTAGGATCGCCGTCATACAATTTTTCGTTATATTCCCACCATCGAAACCGGAAACAGCGGCACAGCAACGAAACGTTAGCCCGAAAGCAACTTTACGCTGCCTAAGCGGTTGCTATGGTATCACACCGGGCGATGCCAGGTGGGACCAACATCTACCATCTGCATTCAGACAGCAATTTTCAAAAAGAACTGATTTTCATCAAACAAATTGCTGTCAACAGTTGTTACGAGGTGAATTTTATTGACTCAATTTTTCCTGAAAAATTTCTGAACCAGGACATAACAACAAAAGATTACCATCAACATGAAGATCCGTTTCATCGCTTCGCACAAGCAATCAGACCGCTCAACCCCAGAAGCAAATCTCGGCACAAGACAATACAGATACAATAACAGAGGCAGGAGAGGCAGCTCAGGTAATAAGACCAAAACAGGTAGAGCAAACACAGGTAGTGGCAGCAACGCAGGTAAAGGGAAACATCCATCCCTATAAATTGAGACACAGAGTTCGAACTAATCAGTCTGAAAAAACCAGACATCACCAGAAGATGGCAAATGAGACTTTGCCGAAACGTTGTGAAAATAATCCTGATTTTCATGGAATTATTTTCCAGCAGCTTGACTGCATTCCCCTTTCTATATTTTAAATATGGCCAAACAGACAAGTTTCAGATAAATGTTATGACTGTATTTATTCTGCTTCAAGCTAGTTGTACAAAGGATTAACTAGTACAGTCTGGGTGTTGTTTTGTTCGATTCTGGTAGAATGGCTCAATAGAGTTTGTATCTTATTGAATATCGATGACTTAGTAATATGACTCGTGTTTTGTATTTGATAAATGGACTGTAAAAAAATAGGAGTTCGCTATCTCAAAGAGTGTTTGACCGGTTTTATAAAGTTGCCTTTCAATGGCCAGAGAATAATGATGAGAATTTATTACACGAGTCTGTGTTTTCCTACCTTGGAATCGTTCTGCATCCAGATCCAACGTCGATTGAATTCCTTTTCTTAGAGAGGAAACTGGGCATAAACACAAGTGTTTATATGAATAACTATTATTATCGAAGTCTTGCACTTGTAGAGCGAAATTATTATTATCGAGGTAGATCACTTATCGAGCCGTTGACAACCGATTCAAAAAGGTATCTGTTCTTTTCTCTGCGAGCCAGCCTTCTCCGAACATGGAACGCACAGTCGTTCTCACGATAACGAGAAAAAAAAATGGGAAAAAAATAATCAGACAAACACAATATCTCTTAATTATAGGAACATAAAAAAAAATGGAGGTGAAGACGGAACAACTAGTATATTTTGCTTGATGATTAAAGTAAACCATATCCAGAAAATGCGCAAAATTATATAAAACGCCAGAGAATTATACTAGTTCCATTCCTAGAATCCACTTGTGTACGAGCTCCAGGCTTGTGTGTACTATATACATTATCCAGGCCCGTACCCAACTGAAGATTCCGCTAATGTAAAGTATACAATCGGAAAATGCCTGAAGAATTGTTGAAGTTTTATGAAAAGTAGATGTTATCAAAGCCACTATAATTTTACATTTAGTTATCAATCAATATATATTTTTCTTAAGAACATAAGAAATTAGTGCCTTTCAATGTGTCTTTTTAGTATTGCGCCCATATAAATTACAATGAAAAATTCACATTAAATTCGGAGTGAAGTTGTTATCATTTTGATTCCCATTCATTTTGAGTTTTTTCGACAATTATTATTCTCTCAACTGGTATAGAAAAAAATAGATCTAGGAGGCCATTTAATAACAATGTTCTGATTGAAACATCAAAATTGATAAAATTCCCTCAATTAGATTATTGTTTTGTTATTCAAATACTATTCAATATGAATAAATTCAAGAACGTTTCATTTGGGAGTGGAATTTTTCTCTGTACTCTCACTTTGTTTAACCGACAACATGTTGGCATATTTGGTAAATGATGAAGAAACATTGGAGCATTCAATATACCTCTAATTATACCAGTACATCAAAACAAAAAAAAGAATACGATGAATACAATTATTATATACAATCAATGTGTAACTGACGACTGTCTGTACTTGAAATAAATTTGAGAAAATTTCTTATCATTATGGCGAACGCACCACTTTATGTAAATTCTACCGAATGCGCCAATTACAACACATCGATTATTTTTTTTGTTCACAACACGAACCAATGATTTTTTTTCATAACATCACCATCACACCGACTTTCTGTACAAAGTTTCGAGAAAACAAAACAAACAAATCCATTGAATGTACGTGATGATTGCGCTCAACGGGTTGCATACACGTGAGGAGCATCTCTCAATAGCTGTTCATTCAGATGTCAGTTTATACCAGGGTCGTACGAAATATAATAATGGAATTTCAAAGGTGTAGCAGATTGATAGCGGGATATAATTCTAAAAAAAGAGTTACAGAATATGATATATTTTTCAAAAAATCTCACGAAGTCTCAAAAACATTTTTCAGAAAAATGGTAATAAATTAAATCAGTCAATCAAGGAGAAAGTATTTTGATAATGAAATTGATAGTTTTTTTCAGCAGAATTTTTTTTAATGAAATATTAGTGCAAACAGATTCAATCCATCTCCACGGAATTGTGGATGAATGATTTTTCTTAGTATAATGACGTGTTTCACAGCTACAATCATGGTAAAAAGATAATATTTTTATCCTATGCTACAATGAAACTATTGTTATCGATTTTGTCAGCTTGGAACTTATTATACTTTAAGTGAATTAACGAAAGCTCATACATACCGAGGTATACCACATGCAAAGTGACAGATTTTGTAAATTTTTATCTGATGAATTTATATTGAATGACAAACCCATTTGTATAACATACACCAAACAGTATTCTTGGATATTCTTGATGACGTGAACAGCTAGAAGTAAAATATTGGAACATCTATTTTACCTCCATTTTCAAAATTCATTCCTTGATTTGAAAAGTAGACATTGTATTACATAGACAAAAAATTTGGATTCATTTACTGTTTGCTGAGTTTGATAATCATATTAGTTTCATTTTGAATGTTAATGTAATATTTGAAAAAAATAATTATAACTAGAAAGTTATTTTATATTTCTCGAACAAGGAATCGAGAAGTGAAGTAATTATTGTCATTGATGGGTTTCCATTATTTTCATTTTGAATATTTATACTTTACTTTCCGTACCTACTTATCTTCCACTTTTTTATACAAATTGTTTAATGAATTCACAAAATTTACAGTTAAGTAAAAATTCGAAGTAAGTCATTTCAGTTTTGAGCTCAGGAATGAAATCCATGATTTTTTGAAAGAAAATATTGTTATGTGACAACCCATTTCGATTTATTTCAGATGCTGTATTTAGCAATTACTCAATCAATTTGTTTGTACATGGTGGACAAATTAATATTTCATCTCATTCAAATACTTCGTTTTTATTATTGATTTTTTGGGTATTTTCACCACAAAAAAAGTCGTTAAAAAACTGATTTTCCTTCACAAAAAGTGACTTTTGTTCAATAAGTTGTACTTGTTAAAAGTTTGAAATGACATTTATACGAAACTTAATCATTGTTCCTTTTATTGGACGAACAAAAATAAAAGTGAATGTCAGTTGAAGTATTTGGCACTTTGAGAATTATACTTTCATTATGGTTGCTTGAAGTGGAATCCAACTTACAGAAATGCCGATTTTTATTGCATGGTGATATAAAACCAGAACTCAGCAACATGCGATTTTTTTAATGAAAGTATCCAGATAGTTGCAAAATCATATCATGTCAAACCTAGTCCATAATTATATTGGTAATTTTTTATTTCATTTTAAACTTTACTCTGTTATTAAATATTTGGGTCATTTATAATATTTTATGGTTATGGATGATATCATAGTAATCTCGGTTGTTTTCCCACACTTTTAAATTTGAAATTTCTTTCAAATTAATGTTAAATGTCATTAAAGTCTAATTAAGTTTTCCTGAGAAAGATGTTTTAATTGTTTCTATTCTGTGAACTGTGATACAGTAACCCCACTATTTCATATGCTTTTTGTAATAGAAGTTAACCAAGTTCCGCTTGCTGCTTGCCCAAATAGTTCCTACGATTCCATTCCATTCCATTCCATTGGTCAGCAATATTCTTTAAAGACAGATGAGTTCAGCCCAGCACCACTGAAGAGAACTTGACGGATCGAAACAACGCTGTCTGGTATTGGAATACGAATGCTTCGGTTTTTAGACTGTGGTTCTGATGAATATTATAAAGAAAGAAATATCAAGTAATAATGACATCGTCGTGTTCATAATCCCCACTGTAGACAGATACATTTTCAAAAACCATTTACTCACAATACGTATTCAAAGGCGATATGTATCTTACGGGAGGTGAATTTTTCTTAATCTATTTTCGAAATATTTATTTTCTAGACTTTATATCGATACATAAAGTAGTTTACATTGATTAATAATTTACTTTCGACTTTGACATACCTGCATCCCCCTTTGCCGACACCAATGCCAATACGGCCGAATAAACTAGGGCAGCAGGGTGAAAGATAAATGAGCATCCGTCATACATTCGCTAAATAGTTGAGGGGATCGTCCAACGAGGGTGCGAGAGACGGGCATCCCCTTATCGAAGAAGCGGCCGCTCCAAGTGAGAAAGCGGGCGTAAGATGCACCGACCTCGTGCAGGATGCATTCGCACCTTTCGACTCTCAGGTGTGCTCGCCGACACCTAGCAAACGTTATGAGGACGGCAACGCCTCGCGAGGTGGGAGTACCGTCCAAAGGCGGGCCCGAGCTCGGGACGGGCCGCCGCCCGGCGATCACGTGACCGCGACCCGGCCACGCACGCGGCACGCAACTCCGCCTTCGCTGACTCCTTCAGTTCGAAGAGCCGACGGACAACTTCTCCACCAGATATCAATGGCCGTGGGTCCGAGCATCACGAGTGTCCGCCGACGACGTTGACCACGCTGTTAGACGACGTTTCGGCTCTCGAGTGACGTGAGTGTGTGGTTGGTGGCTGTATGCACTTCAGTGTAACTGTGCGAAGGTGTGCCATCGAGCTGGAGCACCCGGGAGGGTTCACGTCCTCGCCCTGGGCGGCAGTACTGGGCCACCAACATACTGCCGCTGCCGTGGCAGCGGCAGCCGCCACCAGTATGATGCAGACGAGGGACCATCATGCCTACGCCACTCATCACCCCGCCACCCCTATTGACCTACACGTGCCTCAGGCGTTTCCCTACTATCGGTGAGTGTCACAACAAAAACTGAAAAGCTTCCTCTTTCGATGTTTCCTACAGGTGGAAATCCGCAAGCAAATCTTCCGACGTGCCTTTTTTGTAAAAAAATTACATAATTCGAATGATTCCTGATTGAACTTTTCTGCACTGTCAACCATTTGACATACCATCATCATGAGTTTTGAAATGTCAATATTTTCTTAACTAATTCAATTCAGTTTACGCTTGAGGAAGCTATTGTATAGCGAAACACGTGTCGCGGTTTTTGTAAAACCCTCTATTGTGAAAATCAAACAATGAACTGTATCAATTAGTTTTAATATGGATTTTCATCGAGTATCGGACAGTTCTATTCAATTAATTCAATGTCAAAATAAATTTAGAATACAACGTAATATAGAGTTGATTAAAAACCAAATGCAATATGAATACTAGACAGAATGTGTAAATAAAACAGTTTCTAAATATAACATCGTACATTTATAATCATACAATTAATGATTTCATTTCTCTTCGGGTAATTCCTAACTTCAATTTTTGACATCAGTTTGGAGAGCTACTACAAATTATGTACTTGAACCAGTGAAAAAACTACCAAATGAAGTGATATTCATATTGAATTGCATGAAACTAACTATATTATCTTGTACAAACCCAAAAATCGCTTGGATATATAGGTAATGCTACATAAACCCAAACTTTACTCCTTTTCAGCTGACAAGAAGCAAACTGAAACTGAAATTCAATTTTCAATATCCGTTCAACAAGATATTCAAAAAATATAGAGGTTTTGAGTATTAGATAAATATTCGAAAACAATCAACTGAAATGCTTTTCAATTATATTAATATACGTCACTTCAGGAAAATGCTCTCCAACAAATTATTGGAGACAATAATATGTGAAAATTATATACGAAACACGTGCAAATTGCGAAATTATTTTTTTGACTAAAGCCAAAGGATTTTAGCACTCATGAATATACCTACAAAAATTGAAAAAAGACTTGAATTGAATTCATTCTGTATCCCACTAATACATTATTGAACAATAATTTCATAGTTTGGAAACTCTACTCATAGTAGAGTAGCCAACAAACATCCATTTTTATATATTAGATTACTCCCTGAACTTCATGATATGATTCCACTAGAATCGAAGTAAATAACAAAAACTAATAAATTTAACCTCAGCATCGAAACTTTCGTTCAAATAAACACAACTTCCTCACTTCGTAACTCATTCACTTTCCTAATCAGTTTTGTTTTCATTTCTGAGCATATTTATGTTACATCACCATTCATTTGTTCATACATAATCCTAATGGAATTAATTTATCAATGAATTGATGGATGTAGGCGTCCCTACGTGGTAGGAGTTCATGAAAAATGAGAAATCGAAAAATCGAAACTGCAGTAACTTTAGTTACAAATGAAAGTAGTGAAAAACATAGAAATTTTCATTTCTCATTTTTCATAATCCATCACTCTATTTCATGTCTCGTAAGGATCTGAAACTTTTGTTGACTATGAGATATATCAAAATATCTCGATGTGTATATGTAAACTAATTTTAGTATTCCTGATTGAAGGATAAAACACCAAGATGAACATATTTATTTACTTAGATGTGTACCATCTCTGGAGTAGGATATTATACACTATTTTGTGATATGTCTCACTTATCCTGTAATAATTATTCTTAAATAACCCTGAAAACGTAAACCTCGATATACGGGAGTAGACCAAAACATAATATACATTGATGAATTGATAGGTTTGAACATAATTCTTTATGTTATATGGCATTGAGCATACGTTTACTTTTCCAACTCGTTCCGCTATCTACATACGTTCCAACGCATTTCGTAATTCCAGAACGATGAATAGAACTATTTATTTTAACGATTTACATATCAATCTCAGATCACTATCACTATCAAGACATTTCTTTACCTTCATTCATGAATGCCTCTGCCAAACTATTCAGTTTTTTTTCTGAGCTTTAGGATTGTCTGAATCAGTTGTAGTTCCATCTGCTCAGATAAGTACAGAATTTGAGATAATAAATACAGGTAGGTCGTTCATAAATAACAAAAAATAAGTGGACCCGGAATCGATCCCTGGGGAACTTCATGGTGCATCTCATAAAATTGAAAATGATGCTCTCCGATTTCAACTGATATTTTTCTGAAATATTATGTATGACATCAGCCTAGTGAGAAATGGAAATCTACAGTATACAATTTAAGAGCAGTTGCCGATGATGTTGTAATATCATTATTAATTAATATGCTTCACAGCAGCGACGGCTCGTCAGAGGAGGCAAGGGAGGCTTAGCCTACCCGTAAAATTTGAGGCTATTCATCATTTCTGAGCCAAACTGAAGATAATTTCAGCCAAACATATATTTTCACTCCTTATATTTTCACACTGCCTTATTTTCTCATACTTTAAAAACTAAAACAAATTATCTACAAGAACAATTCGTTTAGGCCAGTCAAAACTTACCTAAACTGCAGGTTAATGGACTGACGACTATCAGAAAACAACTACTCCTCTGGCTAATACCACGAAGGGCGTTGGATTATATCCGACAGGTGTCAGTGCAGGATTCTGCACTGACGTTATTCCTACATATGCTGTTGACGATACAAATGTCGGAATCGATTTTTAATTATTGGAACACACTTACAGACTGGTTTCGGCTGTTTGGCCACTCGTCAGTGCAAAGTAGTATCTATCATCAACATAAAATCGATTTTTACTATAATTGCTGCTCATCGTTTTGAGGTTCAACTCAGTGCACCTCGAACTTCACAGTTTGGGAACTCTTTCATCTGGAGAACTGCGTTTCTGTGGAATGAACTTCCCGAGAACGTTTTTCCAAATGGAGTTGATCTCCCGCAATTAAAATCCAATGTTAATCGCTACTTTCGTACAGGCACCGATCTGAGAGCGTCTTAAGCATTTCCTGTAGTGCTTGTATTTTGTCCTTGAAAAAAATCGAATTCCTTCAGAGTATCATTCCTCGTACTAGGCTGAAGCGAACGACAAACAACATGTTTGTCATCGTCACATCCGCCTGTGAACGAGGTAACCAACAGCATATGCAGGAATAACTTCAGTGAAGAATCCTGCACTGACACCTGTCGGATATAATCCAACGCCCTTCGTGGTATTAGCCAGGGAAGTAGTTGTTTTCTGATAGGTGTCAATCCATTAACCTACAGTGTAGGGAGTTGAGACTGGCCTGAACGACTTCTTCTAGATGATTTGATTTATAGCCAGTTTTCAAGTATACCCACTTAATTTATGTACAACTGAAAGTTTGCAATTCACTAGACATCTGAATTTCTTACTACTATCATAAATTACATCAAATGTTGTAGTACAGGATGCAAACTACTCAAAATCTAGACAATCATAGGTACTTAAGAGTTGACTGGAAACGAATTTGATAAAAATAATGAAAAAGTATTACTTTTCACATGCGGTGGAGGAGCCGATATTATACATTGAATATATTATTTTCACTAAAATCACATCCTAGTAGCAGTACTTTTCATTTAATACTACTAACCTATTGAAGAATATACCAGTGTTGATGTAATTCAAAAATTTAACCCTTGACGATTACATTATTTTGAAAAATCATACAATTTTGCTACAAAATTCTAATTTGAAAATGACAACTAAATAATCCGCCGTAGGGCTGAGAATCGGGACGATTTTACATTTTTTTTGTAGGTAATCTGATTATGATTATATAATAATAATTCATTTTCAGAATCACATTAAGAGTGATCTGCCTATTCTCATAAAATGAATATTTAAATAAAAAATCAGTCATTATTAAACTGACCAGTTACTTGATGAATTTTAATAACATTATCTATGGTCACAAAATGATATTCACACTTATTGCTTAGCTAAAGACTTGTTTCGCTATACAGTGGCTTCCTCGGTCGAACTGATTAGTTGGAACATAATAAGTTTAATGTACTAGTTCGCCTGATGAAACTACTATGTAGCGAAATGCTTCTTCAATAAAGTTATAAGTGTGAACATTTTTTTATATTATAAATAATGAATATAATAAAAATGAGCTTTACTCACATTTGATTTCAGTTATAGTTCTATAATCATATTCTCTCTTATATTTTATTCTTACATATTCATGAGCATATCATCACCATATTGAATAATTGATCCTGCTGTTGAATAAAATATCAATGATATCTCACTTGCTTGATCTTTATGATCTAAATATCTGTCGTTATACTTATTAAAATCAAAAGTTATTTTCCTGTTAAATTTGGTACATAGTTAGTTTGTTAGATAACGTCGCACCAAAAATGAAAACATTAGTTTCGGATTTGGTTTGGAACATTCAAAAAATATCATTAAAATTATTCTCATTATCATTTTCCGAAGGTAGAAAGGGAAATTTGAATTTCAGAAATGATATTTATATTACACGTAAAAACAACCAAAACACTCATCAGAACTGGATATTTGCTTGCGGATTTATATTCAACATTTTTTAGTGAAATAACACTTCTCAAAAAAAAAAGAGAAATTGAGTATCGATATGCCGACATTAAGGCGAACGCGATGTCCACTTGTTGCTCATTTGCATTTAGGGCTGACACGTGATATATGGCTCGTTGGGCACGTGCTGTCCAGTCTAATCAGCACAAAGTGGACTTAGAGATACCGCATCGTACCCCGACCTGGGTTAACCTATGTAGCATCCATCTGAGGAAGGTCAATTTTTCGGTTGAACCTTGTTTCCACCTGTTGGAATTCGAACTCTATCTTCAAACTGCTATAATTGCATAATTCTCATATTTTATACGACATGATTCATTGAAATATTTTATGAATAGACCAGAACCTGTGGCGTAACTAGCATGGGTGGCACCTGGTGTAAATGTCGAAGGGGTCACCCCGGCTGCTGAAAGTAATGAAAATTCTGTAAATGTGTTTTCTTTTAAACAGAGAAA